AGAGAGAGAGAGAGAGAGAGAGAGAGAGAGAGAGAGAGAGAGAGAGAGAGAGAGAGAGAGAGAGAGAGTCCTTGTGCATGGGAAATGGTAATGCCGGTTTGAATGGATGACCTTAAACCACCACGATGTTACACAGGCAAACTTGAAACCTCCTAAGAATGCGGCATAACATATACGTCATTCTTTGGAGGCCGGGCGTCACCGAACCAAAATGGCTGGCAGCACCAGCCAGAACAAAAAAAAAAGGTCATGCTCGTGCTTCTGCAAAGCTTCTTTTCCACTTCGGCAAGAAGCGGCTCGCACGTAGTTCTTTTCTATTCAATATATATCATCACATATGAACTAAAAGAGTGCACTTCGCAAAACAAACGGTGAAAGTACACAAGACGAACATGAAGAGCACACTGAAACCATTCATATTTATTATTTATCATTCTTCTTTCAACTCCCCATTTACTGTGCCTCTCGCATACATGGTTCGGCACGTTGACCAAGTTGAGTGCAAGCTGCCCACATCCTCATGTGCCATAGCAGCCCACTGATACGCTGTGAGATATATATTACAGATTATTATTGTGTAAATCTATTTGGATTTTGAACACACAATTTTACAGTTGTTTGCATGTTGATATACAAAGTATTACGTGTCTTAAGCGGTTAAAGCCGCCAAACACTTTTTTTTTTTTTTTTTGCCCCGGTGGATGTCTCCATTCTATTGGTGGGGAGCTGCACCTGCTGGGATGGAGCGCAGCGTCCCTTAAACAGTGGAAAACAACAAGAGTTCTAAAAGCTTTACCCAGCTTCGCTTGAGCGACCCAGACTGGGTCTTGGTGATCCAATCCTGCCAAGATCCGATGGGACTTAGTGGACTTGTCACCGGCCTGTTGATGTGCTAAAGCCTCCAACCTTCTCCTTACTTGAGCAAGCCCGACTGGGCCTTGGTGCTCTAATCCTCCCACGGTCCTTAAGCCCCCGCCCCCCCCTCTACCCCCCCCAACTACATCAGTGACCCTCTTAGTGGACTTGCCACCCGCCTGTTGATGTGGTAAAGCCTCGAACCTCTCCCTACACCTCAGGTTCTCCTCGCTGTTTCCTTTTCCTTTGCAGACTTCAGGGAGAGTCGCTCTTCGTCCCTTTCCACGCCTGTGCCTGCTCTAGTGACCAAACCACTTTTTTTTTTTTTTTTTTTTTTTTTTAGTGAAAAGGTTGGAAATTAAGGGGACAAGACAAGAAAAGCTTTTTGAAAAACCATCCCCTGCTCCTGTCAAGATTGGATTTGCTTAACCTGTTGATATCATCACATTCATTTGGGACTTCAACATATGTACTCTATCATATAATGAGTCTCACTTAAAATACTTCCCCTCTGGTTGGTATATAAACCAGATCGGCGTTCATTATTAATGGCATGCTTTGATATATATCACATTTCTCTTTGCAAAATGCTTACGTTTAAATCTCAAAAACGTTAATTGCCTGGTTTTGGGTTTGTAACTTTGTACAGGTGCTTGTGATATCGACGGCTTTGTATCTCCTCGTCAATTTTATTATTCAGGTGATGATCATCCCTATTCTCTTCTAAATTTCCCTTACATCTCAAACTATTGTCTCCATTCTACGACCTCTGCATGTTTCTGACTTACCATTCTATGCCCTCTACCTGTGTAAAGTTGTAAACCCTTTTTTATTTATAACCCAGATGTTTTGTCTTCTACTGTTTCCTCCCCTTTCTCTCCTGGAAAAAGTTCAACCCTTAACCCTGAGTACCCTAAATGCTTTTTTTTTTTTTTTTTTTTTTTTTTTAAACAACTTTAACAAAGTCAAAAAATGTGCAGGGGTCATGCTAATCATCTCTGCATCGTTCCAATTTTAATGGATGTCGTATACCTACTTGCTCTGTGGCCTATCTTTTCTATTGGAAGTCGTTCTCCCTTTTCTCTTTCCTCCGTGTTTTGTTTGTTTTTCTCTAGGTTACCTTGGTGGACGTCAGGGACCCCCCCGAGTGTCTGGGTTCTCTAATTGGATAACCTGCCCAATTGTCCGCCCGGGTCCAGATGTCCCCACCCAACGAAAAATAGGGGAGGGCGGCTTCGGACTGTTTGGGGCCTTGGGGGTGGGCAGGAGGATGGTGGCTGGTAGGGGAGGTTGAAGAACATCGTTTTTAGGTCGGTAGAACCTAAGAAAACGAGAAAAAAAAAAGAGTCAATCTGAGTCATCAGATCTTGAAGATCGATGGCCCAGATTGGGCCTTTTTCGAATTTGAATTCTTGCGAGATAAGTCCCCCTGCCCCGCACATGACTTTGGCGCGGACTTTCGAGTTTGGTGTTGCCGAACTCCAATGCCAGCGCCTGCAACCTGACGCCACCATCGCAAGCAATGCCAGGTACGTGTGTGTCTCCCACGTCCTCCTGTTCTCTTCCTCCTCCTGTTCTCTTCCTCCTCCTTCTTCATCCGTTTCCTCCTCCTCGTCCTCCTCCTCTTCTCCTCCTCCTCTCCTCCTCCTCTTCCTCCTCCTCCACTTCTTCCTCTTCCTCCTCCTCTTCTTCTTCCTCCTCTCTTCCTCTTCTTCTCCTCCTCCTCTTCTTCCTCCTCCTCTTCCTTCTCTTCCTTCTCTTCCTTTTCTTCCTCCTCTTCCTCCTCTTCTTCCTCCTCTTCTTCCTCCTCTTCTTCCTCCTGTCTCCTTCTTCCTCCTTTCCCTCCTCCTCTTCTTCTGCCTCCTCCTCTTCTTCCTCCTCCTCTCCTCCTCCTCTTCTTCTTCGTCCTCCCCCTCCTGCTTGTTTTTCTTTCCTCCTCCTCCTCTTCTTCATTCCTCTTGTCTTCTTATCTACTCCTTCCTACTCGTCCTTCTCTTCTTCCTCCTCTTCCTCCTTCTCCTCCTCCTCTTCCTCCTCCTCTTCCTCCTCCTCTTCCTCCTCATCTTCCTCCTTCCTTCTCCTCCTCTTCTTCCTCCTTTTCCTCCTCTTCCTCCTCCTCTTTCTCCTCTTCCTCCTCCTCTTCCTCCTCCTCTTCCTTCTTCTTCCTTCTCCTCCTCTTCTTCCTCCTTCTCTTCTTCCTCTTCCTTTTCCTCCTCCTCCTCGTCCTCCTCCTCCTCCTCGTCCTCCTCGTCCTCCTCCTCCTCGTCCTCCATCGCCACCTCCGCCTCCTTGTCTTCCTCCATCGCCGCCTTCGCCTCCACGTCCTACTCCATCACCACCTCCGCCTCTGCCTCCGCCTCCTCCTCCATCACTGCCGCCGCCTCTGTCACCATGTTCCCCTCCTTCCACCTTCTTCATTGCCACATCCGTCTCCATCTCCATTGCCACCTCATCTCCATCGCCGCCACGTCCATCTCTCCTTTTCTCGCTGCCGCGTCTGCCTAGTTCGTTCTCCCTGTCCCCCTCTTACATCTTGGCCTTCTTTCTCATCCATCGCCGCCTCAGCCTCCTCTTTTTCCTCGTTCTCCTTCTCCTCCTCTTCTTCGTCCTTTTTTTTTTTTTTTTTTTTTCCCTATCCTCCTCCTCCTCCTTCTCTCTTTCCTCCTCTTCCTCGTTTTTCTACTCTTCTTCCTCCTCCACCTCTTGATCTTTTTTTTTCCCCCCAATCAATCAATCAATCACTCAATTGAAAGCGAAGTCTGTGTTTTTTTCCCTCGTTATGTTCATACTCCGTGTTTTCCTTGTTTTTTTTTCATATTTTGAGCTTGGGTATGTCTGGGCAGGATTTGTAAACTACGGTGTTCATACGCATGGATGCGTAGCTAGGTAGCACAGCCGGATATCCAGCACACCTATTTCATTCGGATGAAATTTGCGAATCAATTCCGGATATAGAAAATTCGGCCCTGTGCAAAATAGGTTTTTTTTTACTTTTTACTAAAAACAGAAAGGTAAAAAAAAAAAAAAAAAAAAAGTTTTAAAAACTTTAAAAAGTATGATGTAGTGTGTACTATGTAGATATTAACAATACAAACAACTTTTGGCTTGATGCCACCTTTGATATCCCAACAGATACGAAGATAAAAAGTAAAACAATAAAGAGACAAAATAAATTGAGCACCTCCCCTCTAAACCCTTTTACTCCCTGTCTATAACCTCCCTGAATCCTTTGATGACCTATCTGGCATGGCTACGACGAACGTGGACCCGACACAACCGGACATTCGGCCGTACTATGTCTGGAAAGTTCCAGATGTCCAGATAAAAAAAAATAAAAACAAATTGCAAAAGGTTCACAAATGAGGGGTGCATTGGGCCATACCTGCCTCAAGGCAGCAGCCAACTTGTACTGCTCTCTCTCTCTCTCTCTCTCTCTCTCTCTCTCTCTCTCT